CACCGACAGCCTATACATCAACAACACCTTGTTTGTCCTGCAATCCAAAGAACTACCTGCTCCGATGATGACACCTGCAACGGACAAGAAGCAGGACAAGAGGACACAATGAGCACCAAGGCGCCCATAAAGGAAAGCGGAGCACCTAACGGAAGCGAAACCCTCCCTCTTTTCTTTCAGCCTGCTTGCACACCTTTGAGGCCTTTCTTGTAGCCCACCTTAGGAAAACATCCGTGCCCCCACACGATGCTGAGCCTTGTGTTTCCTTCTGTCTTTAATCTTAGTGAAAAGAGCTTTTAACAAGGCCGGGGAGGATGAGTGGATCTGCCAAACAAGAACAAAGGTAAGGAGGAACTCGGAGAGATAGTAGCAGAGTGGAGGGCTCTGTAATTTATCACCTGTTGGCCTCGGGCGGCCCTGCACTCCACGCCCTGGGCTCTTTGTGAGTTTCTGTCCATGTATGTATGTACATGCAGGTATGGCGAGGAGATTAATGCACAAGCAAAAAAAATAGATATTCCGCATTCCTCTAAAACCTCAAAAGTCAGTACTTTGAGCAATTATTTCCAAGGAAGAGAAGTCGTCTGTTTGCCAGAGACACCACAGTGATGCATAACTCCCTGTTACCACACACTGATCTTGACAAGACATATTTATGTTCTGATTTTTTTGTTTACATTTATTTTATATTGGCGTCAGAACAAGCAAAAAGTACAACATATCAGGTTCTATAAACAGATATCTGAAGTAACAGTGCAACATTTTAAAAAGAAATATTACGAGAAAGAAGTACAAAACTCATCACATATCCCCACTAATTATGTCATTACGAAGCTTCTGAGCTGATAGTGGCATCTAGCTGGATTATACTACACTTAGCTGCTTTGAGAAAACTCTGTTCTCAAGTTCCTTGATCTTCGTCTGCCACCTTGTGGTTTGCTGTTGTACCTACAGTTAATTATAAGAAAAGAAAACCCTGAATCACTAATGTTTCACTTTAAACTATAAAAGAAACAATCAGATGCAACTATTCTACTGAGACTGATTTTGCATTTTCAAGATAAAAAGTGTTGCTTTTTGGAAGTGGCAAAAGTGGTGAGACTGGTGATAACCATTTAATGCTGCCAATCAATTTGCTTCTTTTCTGTATGAAAAGCGACTGGCAGCAAATTTCAGTAAAAAATTGGAAAGTTAAAAATTATATAAGAGCATTTTGGCATCATATAATTAATTTAGAAATGAAGAATAACACTTTTTTTTTTAAAGATTTAAATGCAATATTAATTTCAATTGAAACATCTATATGATCTTTCTGTGCAGGCAGTTACTCCCATGTTAATGCTCTCTGCAGTTAAGTAGAACAAGAAGAGGTCTACAGCCCCGAATGTATTCATACTTGTGCCAAATGTCCATTTAAAATGATATTCACTTCATCATTAAGTCTCTTCTGGCTGGAAATGGCATCAACAAGTGGCAAAGAACAGCAAGACATTGTACGAGATATACATGATTTTTTTTTTCTCATGTTTTTTGTTTTTTGTTTTTACATATTTACAAACAATAATCAGTGGCAAAACCCTCATTTGCGATCACAGCAATCAAACAGTTCTTAGAATTTTTAACACGTTTCTGAATGTCTCCACTCTGATTCTGGACCTCCAGTCTGTTGTACTGATCTTCAGAGTGTTGAAGTTGGAAGGTTTCCTTGCCTTCACTCCAGTCTTCAGCTCCCTCCTCAGATTTTCAACAGGATTCATGTCTGGACTCCAAAATGTTGATATTGTTTTCTGTGAACCACTTCTTGACCACTCTGGCTGTACAAGATCATTTTCTTGTAAAAAGGTCTTATGCTGCCCAGAGCCAAGTTTTTTTCTGCAGAATCTTGATATCATGTTGTTTACTTTGACAAGGTTGTCTGACTCATCAGCTGAAAACACTCCAAAAGTTTTACATCCCATCGCTATGCTTGACTTAGATGTGGTTCTTTCGGTTCAATGCTTCTTCTTTCTTTTGTCAGACTAATGACACGTCCCTCAGTCCAAACAACTCAGTTTTTGTATCATCCCACAGCACACTAGTCAACAGCTGAGCGTTAGCTGTCATCACAGAACCATCACGAAGAATCATTTATTTACATTTAATAATCAGAGACTGCAATCACCAAAGTCACTCAGACTCAGCAGGGGGAGACGGGTGGAGAGAGTCGACTTGCAGCTCGCTCTCCAAACCAGCCTCTACCTCTGTCTCGATGACCGTCACCTCTTCACTTTCCCGTTGTTCCCCTTCTGTCTGCAAATTGCTGCAATTGAGGGAAAATGGCAAAGTTCTATTACAACCAGGAAAAGCAAGCAGGCTAAGAAACAGCGCTGACGTCTTCTGTCTATCGACCTCATCTGTTTGTCTCTCAAAAACTGACATAGACACTGCTATACGCTTTTACTTCATGCTAATAGGATCAACTATTGGATTGACTATCGCTATCTGGTTTCTCCAAGAAAATATTTCAACTACAACAGCTTCAAAACTCAGCTACATGTGTGTTGACTAAGACCAGGAGGATGCCTGTCTACTTCTGAATTGATATTAGAATCATTTAATAGGTTTATAAAGCTCTTCGTGGTCTTGATCCCATCTATTTATCAGATTTGATTTTATCCTATGAGCCTTGCAGAACCCTCAGCTATTCTGCTATTTACCAAATGTCACAACAAAAATCCATGACGAGGCTTTATTGCAATTACAGCTCATGTCTCTCTCAGCGCTCCTGAAGACGTTAGGGCAGCAGAGAATGTTGATATTTTTAAATGGAACTAAAGACGAACCTTTTCAGTCTGGCTACTGGTGGATTTTTTAAAAATTCTGTTATTATTATTATTACTTGTATTGTTGTTGTTTTTATTGATTCTACTTCTCTGTTCATTTATACATTTTAATCTGTTTTTTTGTCTTTTACTACTCCACTTTTTAAAAATATTGTCTCATTTTGTCTTTCTGAATTTTGAATTGGGGGTATTATTGTCTTATCTTTTTTTTTTTTTTTCAAAAGCACTTTGTGTTACTTTGCATTTGTATGAAAAGCACTTTACAAATAAAGTCTGACTGACTGAGTGAGAGACTGATTGATTGACCTGCTCTGTTTCAGTGTTATTACAGCACACTTTAGGTCTCACTGCATGAGCTGTCATTGTCATCTCTCTTAATTCACTTAAATTGAATCCAGTTTCAATTCTGCATGCTTTATTTGCATGAATATCAGCACAAGACACGTGCCATTTTCTTGTTCTTGTCATCTACTTTGTGCATTTATTTTATTTTATGTTGTATTTCTTTTCTTTTCTTACCTGACTTTTGAATTACACTTTCCTTGGCACTGTGACAATATTCATGTGTGTGTGTTTCATATATGCAACAGGCTATGTCAACATAATTATTTGTCACATTTAATAATGTTGTTTCAGTTTGTATCACTCTGTTTATGACATGCAGCCACATCGTGCAGCTCAATTTGCTGCGTGTCTCTTTTAATCAGATTTAAAGAATGACAGAACAAATAACTTTTTCTTCAGATTGTGAATGTGACAAATGAGATGTCAGTGTCTTGCCAAACAAGTGATCATATGATCTGCCAAAAAGTGATGTCACACTCCTTGTTAAAGCTGTATTGCCTACAGCTGCTTTTATCTGAATCAAACCATTAAAATGGGCAAATACACATAATTTTGTGACCACAAAAATGTATGTAGTTTATGGTAGTAATCAGGCATGACATTTAAGGTGATTATAGACAATGCTGTAGTATTGTTTCTGGTGTTTAGTCTGCGTAATAAGTCTGATATCTTTGTTTAGACTAATCAAAATGATTTATGGATAGATTTTAACTATAAAATAAGAAGAAATGATCTTATTTGCATGACCATGCATCATCCTGTGGGATATAATTTATTAAATATAAGCCTCATGAATGAAAACAAGTCATTTTGATGCCTCAGTAACATTTCAGTCACAGTGCAGGGGCTGCAGCTACTTTTGTCAGGTGGGAAACTACACCTGTAAGCCCACGTTTTGTTTGTTTGTTGTTGTTTTTGTTTTTTGGGGGGTGGGGGGTTGTACACTACCTGTCCTGGAGAAGTGTGGTCCCTCTTGTCCGGCGTCCCTGCAGACCAGCCTTTTGCAGTGTCCTCTGGAGAGTCTGTCTGGAGATGTTGGTACCAGAATTGCTCAGACTCTTCAGGATGGCCTTGGTGCTGATGTTTGGGTTCTTCTTGGCCTCTCGCACCACCATCCTTGCCAGCGCAGGGGTCACTTTTGGCTTTCTACCACGCCCTTTGAGATTTTCCACGGTGTCGAACTCCTTGTACTTTTTGATGATGCTTTGCACCGTGGCCACTGGCACTTGAAAACACTTGGATATGGCTTTATAGCCTTTCCCCGTCTTGTGTGCTGCCACAATTCGCGACCGGAGGCTCTCGCTAAGCTCGCTAATTTTAGCCATGACTTGCAATTGAGTAGTAACTGGCTGGAGAAGATCTGCAATAGCTGTTCTTAATTTATAGTGTAATTAAATGCTCTAAAACATGGTAGAAATCAAAGCTGCGAGCAGAGTCAATGGCAGTTTAAATGGTCGGTCGTCACGTGATTTGTGTAGACTTCAGGTAGTTCCAGGCAGAGTTGATACTGTAGCAGAAAATGTTATTAAAATCTCCAACGCATTGTCTTACCCTCTTTTGTCACTTGTTAGTGTTATTTGCAGCAAGAAAACACCTATTGTTTAATTAAAAAAAAAAAAAAAAAAAACACTGTGCGTCAAAAAAGCAAATAAAATCTCGTTTTTTCCCATTTTTTCAACACATTTGTTGGATTGATCCTGCTGTTTCTTGCAAAATTCCAACACGGCGAATGACTCCTGAATGCAGCACTACTCGAAGACGAGTGACGCAGCACGCAGCCGCTACGTCGTGTTTAGTCTGAGCAAAGGAAGCTAGGAAGGCATCAAGGAAACCTCTAGCATCGTAGATAAACACCCTTAAGAGGTGTGAACCCAGCGAGCACACAGCTATCACAATACCAAAAAGAACAGTAAAAAAGGTCCGCTTGAGTCCTTCATACAGCGAGGGTCAACATGTCTGAGACATACGGTATGTTTGTGCGGGGCAGACTGTTAATTTCATGCTTGCTAGCTGGTATAGAGACTCTGTGGTCTGATGTGACAGACTGGCTCTTAGCAAAGTTGCTAGTTAGCTAGCTATGTGGTTAGCTTGGGTTATGCCACCTCATGCTGTGTGTGGGCTTTATAGGTGATATTTAATGTTGACTGACGACATTTCATTCAGATTAAGTGATGTAGTTTGAGTGCTTCGTGTGTGTTAACTGACACCTCTGTTCCACTATGGCGGAGTGCTCTGCTTCGTTAAACGGTCAGCAACACGAGCAAGCGGATGGTGAGACGTGTACAGGTAAAAGTTGGCCAAACTTTACCCAAAATGCAACAGCAGTAGGTAAAAGAATGTGCTTGCAGACATTGAGGTAACCTTAGCTCGATGTAATCCAAGCAGAATGGCTGACCTTGCGAGCTAAAACAATGTTGCATTCATTCAGTCCTAGGTGCTGTGTGTTTTAATAAGAGGTAGCTGTCAGCCTCAAGGCCCAGAAGAGGAAGTTGGATGGCTGGGGCTGATCAAGGCACAGATACCTGTAGAGCAGAAACTGCTCTGGTGTGTCCCTGGTCTGCCACATCTGTTTTCACCCTGATTCACAGTAATTTCACTTCCAGAATTTAGAGACAACACTGATCACAAATATAAACGCAGCACGCAAATGGTTCTTCTTTTCCTACTTGTAGAAATAGTAATACATTTCTTTTCCATTTTTATGGTTAGAAAATGGTTTAATTTAGCCAAATGTGCACAACACATGTAAGCTGTAAATAGAGCAGAGATAAATTCTCAGCCATCGAGTTAATCCACACCCTGGTCAGGTGTGGTGTGAAAGGACAACGATTAGATAGTGTGATCAGCACACAGACACTCCCTTTAACAGGGACTCAATAAGGTCACCATAAAAATCTGCTTTTTTTTTAACATGACACCATGCCACAGATGAAAACAGAAGAATGGGCTATTGGCATGCTGGATGTTGGTACATCAGTTAAGGTTGTAGCCGGGCTAAGAAATCTTTTTGAGAAAGCTCTGGATGGACGTGTCTGACAACGTAATTCTGTCCCCAAAAATGTCTGCTAAGCCCTTCAGAATAAGTGGGACAACATGTCAGGACCAACACACTCATTAACTCTCTGCGTCAGAGATATGTGACTCGTTATTGACTTATGATTTCTGGTGTATGACCCCACTCTCAATCCTTCCATTATAATTTCTGATACAGTGTGTACTTTATTGTTTAATGACTTCTATTCTGTGATAGAGATGCCATGTACTGGAACAACAGATACTTATCCTCCTATGTTGAAAAGAGTGGATAGGATTTAATAAATGATTACATGCTGCGTATATATTTTTGTTCAGTGTATATTGCATACTAATGCTGACAGAAGATATAATTGCACCTGCACATGACTGACCACAATTGTTACAGTAAAATTTATTTATTTAGAAATGTATTACTATTCTGCATAAATTCATTCAAAAAGACTCTGCCTGACAGTATTAGTAGTACAATAGGCCCGACATGGTAGACCCAGTTGTTTTGAAACGGCACACCATCAACCTGTCCTGTTGCGCTCTCAGACACACTCTTGCCATCTGTTTCTGCTTGTACCTTCTCTCCGTCGTTCCTTGTATGAAACTTTATCCAAGTGGGCAGTATTTATGTAAAAGTGCCAGTGCTAATGGGAGCTGTAATAGCCTTTTATTGATTTCTGTCTCAGTCTGCTCAGCTGTCTCTTCTGCAGGGTCACTGGTGCAACTGGCAAAAAGCATTACGAACACAATAAATACATGTTAAATGGACACAGATGAAATTCATAAAACCTTTCACTTGGTATTTGGTCAGTACGTGTAGTCACACGTGGTTATTTATGTGAGGACAATAAAAAATATTATGTTGTGTAACATTGTTAACTCTGAATTTGGCTGACACTATTTTTAAAATGAAAAATATACTGCAGACCTATGTGTAGTGCAAATTGCTCCATGTAGGCAATATGTCCATAGATACTGGAGCAGTTTTGTTTTTTTTTTGTCATTATTTCTAATCTGTCTGCAATGTGTTGATTAACTGCTGCACTTTTGGCATACATAGATGCAAATGCATCAGGCAAGCATCTCATTTGACCTCAGGTGCAAATGCCGTGGGCAGGTTGTCAGCAAATGGGAGGACACATCAGACCTAAACCTTAGATCTGGTCCTGAGTGTGTTAAATGTTGTCACAGCGTAAGTGAATGCAGATAACAGTGTTGTTTTGTTCCCTCAGGGGTTATTTAATATTGATGTGTAAAGAATACAATAGCCTGAAAGGCTGCTTTTGAGAGGGCAGCATTGCATTCCACTCTCCTCATTGCTTTGACATATTGACAGCTTGATTGCTGTATGCAGATCTCACATGGGAATATATGATGTCTAGGAAGATGCTGAAAAGCTGAGGCAAGCTTTTAAAACAGAGCTGTTAGCCTTTGATTCTGTCAGTTCTGCTGTCATGACCACTGACAATGTGTGGTTGAGATGTAACGCTGACTGCTGTTGCAGAATAAAACTATAAGTGCCCATGGGCACCTTCACTGTGCTGTAGCTGTTTGGTTACATTGAATTTGACCTCTAGCTTGTGTTGCTTGAGAAAACACCCGCTTAAACAAACAATGACACACTATAAATGGCAGTGTGGTACGTGTCAGCCTATGAAGGTGGCTCCAAGAGCAATAGCATAATAAGTTTAAGTGTAACACAGGAACTTAAAAATCAACCTCATCATACCCTCTTGTGTTTTTTTGAAGTGCTGTTTCTGTTGACCTTGTGTGGAGCTGAATATTCACAGGATGTTCACCTGGCTGGTATCATCAACAGTGGTCACTAATGATTTGCCAGGCCAGCACTTCTTCCCTGCAGAGCTTAAGCTTAAACCAAAACTGCACACTGCTTTTAAAATTCCAAACGAAGCAGGTTCTCAGGAGGAAATGTATAGTTTGCAGTCATTACTTGCTCTCACAGTCTAAGGAACACAACCTCACTCCTGAATTTCTTGTTGTTCTTTTACTAACTCTAATTCAACATTAAAGTCTGTCTTTATTTCTCATTAACACAACTCACTTTTCATATCCTCTCTTTTTTTTTTTATCTCTTGGATCTAGTCACAGCTGCAGCACAGCGCACATATGTAAATTTCCTCTGTAGTATCTTTGGCCCCAGCACGCAAAGGCTGCCTGTGCTGTGGATATCCTTGCACATTAGTGGCCTAAGTCACTGTGGATCATGTGAGTGGGTTGGGTTGTACTCCCCAGAGCAAGGATCCACTCTCCAAAACAACAACAACAACATCTGTACAACCAGCTGGCTTTGGTCATTCAATCTCCGTGCAAGTCCGTTACCCTAAGCCAAGTTTAATAACTCTAAAGCTTCAGCTTTGCTCTAATGACATGTGTTATTAATTGCTGGTGCTTCTTCAAGGCTTCAGACAGTCATTTTCCACCTCAGACAAACAAGCATATTAAATTAGAATTGTAAGCAGCACGCTATACTGATTACATGCAAGGCTTTGTGATTAGTAGGCTAATTTGGGTTTGGTGGATACTGTGAAAGTAGTAGCTCAATGGGATTAAGAGGAAAGCTTAGGATTGTCTCTGAGGATGCAAGTGCAAAGAGCAGTAGATTCACTGATCTCTCACTCTTCTCCTCTGCTTGCAGACTTCCTGTTTAAGTTCCTGGTGATTGGCAGTGCTGGGACGGGGAAATCCTGCCTCCTCCACCAGTTCATCGAGAACAAGTGTAAGTCTCAGGGTGGGAAAAAGAGCGACTTTCTCAGCGTATAGTAGCACAGACACATTTAAATTGAAATGGTCATGAACTCGTGCTACTGATTTCATGCCATGCACATCAAATGAACCCTCTCAGTCTGCTGTGAGGTTGGATCCTGCTGAATTTTTCAACAAGTTCCTACTGAGAGTTATTCATTGACTGCTGTGTGGATGCAGGATGCAGTGTGTGCCTATCCAGATTCTTAACATTTACAGGAGGTAATTATTGAGCCAGCCAAACACAACACAAGATTCCACAGCTCTCTGGCTTGGCTGTCCTGCGTAAACAGAATCTAAAAAAAAATACACATGATTTTTAACATTTCTCTGAGCTGTAACTCTTCATGGTTAAATGAAAATTACACTTTCTGTATGGTGCAGTGCAATAAAACACCCTGGCTGACAATACCTTCAAAGGATGCACCCCTTCCACTATGTTAACAAAACTGAACATCACAAACTTCACAAAGTCAGGATTTATTGCAGGGCTGTAGAAGTATATCTAAAAAAACCCTGTGATTCAGTGTCAGTGTGTGATTTATAGCACAGTATTAGAACTGTCCATCAAACATCATAACTATAAAGATGTTCATAAGTCAGCTGGTAAGCAGTGAGGATGGCTCCTAAACAAAAGTTTCTGCTCTAAAAATACACAGTTTTGCTTTTGTAAAAACACATGAAAACTCCTGCACAGACAGTCATATATATATGTGTGTATTATTTAATTGAGATGTGCTGGGTCCCAGTGCGATCAGTAGAGAGAAGAGGGAGTTTTAATCTTATCTAGGCTCCCTATTAATGTTTGAAGGTAGCAGTTCAGTTGTTTTAAAGAAGCACCACACCCACACATTATAAAACAAGATGAAACTGTCGTCCCATTATTGTAGTGCACACCCTGTGGTTATGTGGGAAGACTTAGTCTGTATAAATACTCAAGGGACAAATACATAGTGGCATTACTATATAAACTCTGTTAGTTGTTCTGTTGCGCTGCCGTCTCATGTTCTTTCCCTTTTCACACCTTTACACCAACGCCGTTGCAGTTAAGCAGGACTCCAACCACACCATCGGCGTGGAGTTCGGTTCCAGGGTCGTCAACGTCGGCGGAAAGACAGTCAAACTGCAGATCTGGGACACCGCTGGGCAGGAACGATTCCGGTAACAGCCTGCAATATTTCCTGCTCGGTGTTTGACATACATTCTACACCCACAATCCTGTGTGAAATGTCACAATCTCGTAGCTGTGAGCAGTTCTCACAAAAGTATCGAAGTGCCTGACTGATGATGATGGTTAAAAGCAAGGGACCGTTCCTCTTTCATCTTCCCCTGTCGGATTATACCATGTGATACTGTGAATGCATTACTGTAAACAACATTTCTGCATTCTCTCCACCAGTTCTGTCACACGCAGCTACTACCGAGGAGCAGCTGGAGCACTTCTTGTCTATGATATTACCAGGTAAAACCATCGGTGCACTCACTGTCCTGCTACCTTTGCACAAATAATCCCTTTTTTCAGACAGAATACAAAAAAACCCCAAAAATGTATAATAATAATAACTTCATCTCTAAAGAACCTTTTAAAAACAGAGCACACAAAGTACTTTACTGAGAGGCTAAAATAGGAGGATACTCAGAAAGACTATTGAACAACAGACGGTCTGCAGAAAGAAAAGAATCCAGAGAAGCAAAAGTGGAAAAAGTTGAACATAGTAAAAGATTTACAAAATATATTATTACAACAAAGAACAATCAATACAAATATAATACCAAAAACCACCACAAATGCCATATCAAATTAAGGAAAAAGAACAAGTTGCATAAGAGAAAATAGAGGGTAAAATCATAAAAACAATGGTTAAAACACAACTCATAGTGCATAAATATAAATAAGTAAATACATGAAGGTTAAAAGAGCTGGACAAATAAAATAGACGTCACATAAATGCAAGTCTATAAAACTAGGTTTTAGGTTGTGATTTAAAAGAAGACACTGATTTTGTGAGCATTATCTCCTTAGGTATGTCGTTCCAAAACCGAGAAGCCCTGATAGCAACATGACTGTACCTTTACATTTAAGCCTGGACTTTGGAACGATCAGAGGAGCTCCACTTGAGAATCTAAGGCTAGCTTATATCAGGTCAAGTTTTCTGATATACAGCTTGGGGTCAGACCCTGACAAGCGTTAAAAGTGATCATTTAAATCTTAAAAGCAATTCTAAAATGGACAGGGAAGGAAGCCAGGTTTGGGGTGATGTGATGTCGAAATAGTTTATGTTTATCCATCATGTGGCAAATAGTCACAAGCATTGTACCTACGTGTTCATACCGGTGCATTTTTTTTTTTCATTAAATGATAAAATAATCATTAAAAACTACCAAAAACCTGCAAAATGTAATATTGTAGTAGGAGGAGACAGTCACAGCAATGATATTTTGAACTGTTGAAATTTCATCCAGCAGCACTTGAAATTGAAATTTACTGACGCGTGAAGCTTAACTGTAAATGGCATTCCACTTTACTCACTATAGTTTTATGACTACTTCTGTTGTTGTTTTGGGTCTGTGTGGTTTTAACAACCTATAGGTGTTATATAGCGTCCACACCACCTCCAGAAAATGGTGCAATTTTATGACTAAGCGTGGACCCGTACGGTGATATATGAATATCAGAAGCCCACTCACAGGCCGGTATTTCATAAGCTCTGGGTTGTGATAGAGGGGCTGTGAAATCAAGATGGCATGACTGCAGTAACGCAGAGAGACAGGAATGCAATACAGTTTGTGTTTGTAGGAATGTATGGGCTTTTGTGGAGGGAGGAGGAGGAGGAGCGCAGGGTGGCAGGAGCTGTAATATAGAGGCATCTTCTGGCAGGCAGCAGCAGTTGGGAAAACAGAAATCTGTCTAAATAAGTGTCACCTGAGGTAAAAAAAAAAAAAATGAGAGAGGAGGGAGAAAAATACATGAAGAGACAGATCAGAGAAGGAGGAGATGGAAAACAAAAGACTGTGGAGACATTCATCACTCTTCACACATGAAAGTGTTTGCAGGGAGATGGACAGTTGAAGTAAGGAAGAGTCTGTGAAGCAGATTGCAGCTGAGACGCCTCGTTCCATCAAGCGAGCGCACGGGGAGTTGCATCATTCTTTGGCTGTTTGTGGAAGCAGCTGTTAAACATCAGTGTGCAGACCTACACCCTTCTACTCACCTCACTGGCCTCAAGTTACTATGGACACAATGACCCTGTCCCCATGGTAACCAGTGGCTTCACCCAAAAAGAAAAAAAAAAAAAAAAAATCCACTAAAGTTGCCTTGATTTTATCTTCACTGTCCAGCAGACTGCTATGCATGCTAACTGTATATTGACTAGCCAAACGTTTTGTGTTGTTTGTTTGTCTGTAAAAGGCACTAAGAAGACATTTTGTTTGGTTTGGAGGGAAAAAAAAGCCTTTTTGCTCTGTAGCACTGATAGATCCTTCACTTGATGCTGTGACCCTGTGAAGACACTGTCTATTTGATAGATGGGAGATAACTCTGTGGGTTGGGCAGCTAGGAGTTTTTATTCCTACAATGGGAATAACCTGCTTCTAGTAAGTTGTCGTGTTTTTACATAAAGAAATTTAAAAGTACAGGTGGGGAAAAAACTTGCAAATTGAAGAATCTGTACTTCAAGATCCCTGATGAAAATAGTATTTTACCTTGCTATCATGTCCATAAGGTTTTTTTTTTTTTGCATGTTCGTAGACCAAAATGAGCAGTTAGCACCATAGCTGAGCATTTCCACCCTGAAGCTGTAGTGAACTGGTGACTCAGACTTCTGGGGTTTCATACATAACAAAGCTAAGGAGCCAATCTGGTCACTTTGCAGGCTGGGACTTGATATCAATATTATTCTTCAGAATCGATTTTTGTTCCAGAGATGTGTGGCTGAATTACTCCAATATTAGAACTGACTGTTGTGTAGCACAGAGTAGTTACAGTGTTTCAGCGGAGTTGTAGGCGAGCTGGTGTTCTGAAGCTGCAGCAAGTGAGAAGCAGTGGATGGAAAGAGAGGCAGGGACAGTGCTTACTTACATCTAAGACATTTCAAGCATTATTTCATGGAAAAAATAGTATATATGTAACTTAGATACTCAGATATTTGTTAATAGGGGTTTCATCAATAACTAAAGAGGGACTATAAGAAAATATAATAATTTCATTTACATTAACTGAAATACAAATGTAGTATTTACCATACAAAGTAACAAGCACTGTAAAGGCTCAGATATTCCTCTAAAACAGACACAGTGGCTATATTATAGGCCGACATGTGAGAATACACTCCTTGCAGGCACGACAAACTATCTGAAGCCATGTGACTGCAGAAAATATCATTTAAGCTTAACATGTTCCACGGCGACGCTTTATCCCAACACTAAGCCGCCCCGTTCTGTCTTACAGTCGGGAGACATACAACGCCCTGACCAACTGGCTGACAGACGCACGGACGCTGGCTAGCCCCAACATCGTCATCATCCTGTGTGGTAACAAGAAAGACCTGGATGCAGACAGAGAGGTGACCTTTCTGGAGGCCTCGCGCTTTGCTCAGGAGAACGGTAACTAGTTGTCAAACACTTCAAGTTTATATTTGTTTTTTAGATTTCGTCCACTTCCTTTATACTGTCCTTTTTGTATTTTTTCTTTCTTTCTTTTTTTACACTCTTAAGAGTCTTTTTTTGTGCCCACACAGAGCTGATGTTTCTGGAGACGAGTGCTCTGACGGGTGAAAACGTCGAGGAGGGTTTCTTGAAATGTGCTCGCACCATCCTCAACAAGATAGATTCAGGTACACTTTTGTTTGCTAAAGAGGTGTGTCTGCGTTGGTTGTTTCAGACGTTTGCATGCTGTGTTAAGATCTCGTTGCATATTTGCATGGATCTGTTGAGCACACATGTCCTCATGGCTGATGTTTCTTGCTGTGGTTGCCTTTAAAAGGTGAGTTGGACCCGGAGAGGATGGGTTCAGGTATCCAGTATGGAGATGCTTCGTTGAGGCAGCTGCGACAGCCGAGAGGCACCACGACACAGAATAAGCAGCAGTGTAATTGCTAGGGATCGGGCCCCACCCACACCTCCGCCCACAGGCCCACACAGACAGGACACCCCCTACAGGTCAGTGAGTTAAACGGCTAACCTAAATTTTTTGTTATGTTTTAATTTGGCGCACTATTGAGTGATTGTTCTCATTCTCGCCTCATCTCAGCTCCAGGTGGTTTTTGGTGTGTGCGACCCTCAATCCGCTGTCTCACACACCTCGGATCACCTCGATGAGTGGTCGTGGAGATCACTGCAACCCCTGACCCCTGACCTCTGGTAAGAGTCTCTTCTTCTTACCTGAGGGGGTCAGTTTTTGCTCCTGCATCTGAACAAGGCGACCCCTCGGTGTGAACCTGGCGGGATCATACAGAAGAGAAATCCTCGTCTTAAAAGATGGTTTCCCACTTGCTTACCAGAAAAGGACAAGTCAAGGGTTGTGTGTATGGGCTGCCCTACTCTTGTTTTATCTCTGTGCTTTTTTTTTTTGTTTCATTCTGATTTTAGTATCCCCAAAATGCTTTCTGCGTTTGCACATCATCGTTTGTAAGTTATTATTGTTATATCTATTTTGCGCATATTCATCATTCAACCTCTCCCAATGTTATTCATGATTGATTTGGTTATTTGAGTTTTAGCATTCATAAAGACACCTGCTGGTCATTGACTTAACCGTATTTTCCATAAATCGAGGTCGTATTAATAGTGACTAAGTGATAAATAGTCTAAGTGTGTCCTCTCATAAGAAGTTGACTTGCACAGATTTTGGGTTATAAATAATGTATAGAAATTTATTCCTAATGCGAAGCAATGCAAATCCTCGCAAAGATTTTTGCAGTTATTGTCAAGTGATACTTCTCATTTTGATCTGAAAATTGAAGCTGCTAATCACTGGATTTAGGTGTACTTCAGATTTTTTAAAGCCAAAACAGGCCCACATGTAGAGCCCGGGACTTTTAGTCGCTCTGAAGTGTGTGTGTGTGTGTGTGTGTTACATTGAGTCTTGCATTGAAAACTTTTGGTTTGTGTTAAAAATACACTGTTATTATGAAGAGTATTGGCCTTAGTGATATACTCGATATTGTGGCTCTGTAGTATATTATTCCCAGCTGCCATGTCTCTAAACTGTCAAAGGGAATGATCCAATCACTCCACTCTACACCCACGTGGGCAAGCCAGTGGGTCAGGTTTAAAGCACAAAGAAGAGAACATTTGCTCTTTATTTTACCCAAAGGTCCTAAAGTCTGTAGATGGGGTGTTTTTTTTTTGTTTTGTTTTTTTACATTCACACCATGTTTAAATCCATATGTCTCTGCTCCTGTTACAGTGAAAGATTAAGAAAGCGTCATCAATCTTTGCAAATGTTTTTGACTCCTCCTGCTGGGCATGACCTCCCTTTGATTCGTACTGCTCTACATGCACACACTGTACAAGGGACGTCACAGGAAACCACAGTTGGTTTTGCCTGTGTGTCGTGTTTAGGAAACTTTCGTGCCGCCCACCCAGTTCCTTCACTGCGGTTTGACATTGTAAAATCATGACAGGTTGTAAAAGCGCCTTTCAAAAAAAAAAAAAAAAAGTCAGGATTGTGTTTTTACCCTCTCAAGTAGTCACTTCTCTTTGTCAAGTACAGAAATACCGTCGCTCTGCTCTGCTGCAAAATGTCTCAGAGTTTGCTGAGGTGACCCAGATGTTTTCTCCTTGGAATCCTCCCTGTGTTGCCCCGGAGAGAAACAGGGAATTTCCAGTGCAACACGGTTTCCTCTCTCCTCACTGACAGCATGTTTTGTGGCGCTGCCGGAGGAAAATGAGGCTATGAGTTAATAACTTTAAAAACATCCCCAAATCCCGCCCCGCTGAGTCAAAGGCGCTTGCTTCTGTCTGAATCACTGAGAGCAGGTTACGCCGACCCAGCCAAGAGGAGATCAAAACAAACTGCCTGCAAACTTCTTTCTCACGTCTCTGTCCTCCGGCGTTAGCATATGTCCTTCCAGACAAACCATATGTGTTTAAGCTCAAGCAAGCCAGTACTCTGAAGGGAGAAAGATGGCGAGTTGTGCAAACACGTGATAGTATAGGATATCAAGAGACAGATGGTCAAAACTTGTTGCTTTCATAAAATATTTGCATCATGTGATAGTTTGTCTCCTTCTGCAAGTGCACTTTTACTTTTGAATTTTCATTTTTTGTTTTTGTTTATATGCTGTAACTATAGAAATGTACATTTTATTTTACTTGAACTGTAAACTGTAATAAAGATTTTAATTGTAGATGTTATCATTTCTTACTAAATAACAACTGAGATTCTTAATTTTGAGTTCCTCGTTTCCTCGTAAGCAAAGAATGTTGCGGCGATGCCAGCTCCTGCTGTCTGAGGTTTGATTTGTTTATTGCTCTCTGCTGACGTGGAGGTGATGATGAAAGGGTGATGACTTTGTGAGACGTAGGTGGACTGTCAGCAGCAACTCTGATTACTCCTGTTTCCCTGGATGTCGAAAACAACCGAGTCATCTAAATGGTTGAATCAGCATTTGTTTGTGTGTTCATTGTACAGTTCATAATAAGCAATCATCAGGATAGCCATATATGAGCATTGTTTTCTCGCTCGTTCCAGTCTGGATTCAATCGTGTGATGAACGCAATCCAACTCAGTTGCTGCTTAGTAACTAATGTTGTATAATCAGCCTGAATACTACTGTACATCTCAAGTAACCTATCCTGTAAATAAGATTTGTCTATTGTCTATTGAGGGTGAGTGTTGCTCATTGATTGTAATGATTATGCAATTCCCAGTAAACTGCTTGTTTTTCAGTTAATACCTTTCACCTGTCTCCTTGATCTTAATGTTGTTCCCTGTGCTTTGTAATTAAGGTCTTGTAAGTGCTCCATTTGTTAAACTGCACCAGATCCAGAATATTGGGTAAATCTCACTTTTTTTTTTTCTTTTTTCTTTTTTTTCTTCCCTCGACCGTGTGCACAAATGCGAGCTGCGTTTACACATCAGGTTTACAGCCGGCTGACTTAACGGACCTTGAAATTCAACAATGGAATCTATGTACATGATTCATTTCCCCTCCTCCGCCATTCTTTAGTCGAATCATTTCTCCCAAAGGCAGTCAGGTTGAGGTTAGGATATCAGAGGACTCGTATGATGAAGAGTAAATGCCCTCTGTGTCCAATTGTCTGGATTTATGCTCTTGGGTCGATGGAGCAACGGCTAGAGTGGTTTAATGTAGCTGAAGTGGATATATTGACTGATTTATTGATCCGAGGCAGGCTGTCAGGATGACCTCATATTGCATATTGTGTAATTTACTGCAGAAAAAGCTGATTGTTTCACCACTAGATGGTGCTAAAACACTGGATGGACGATTCATGTTTAGTCTTTTCAGAAGCTGATTCATATCAAATCAAGGCAACAAATATGGAAGAATACTTGTAGTGTACTTTTGAGCATATTATACATCAGGAAATAATTCTAAGGGGGGAAATATAAAGATCTAAATGTAATAAAATTCAGTTTTCATAGACGAATCAAAAATGAAAGGCAGAAACTGTTGTCACTTCATCTGTTTATTTACACAAAATGGGACATACTGATGCAGGTAGTTGAACAGGAGACAGCAATACACACATCTTCCATCAACAAACTCACAGGTGAACAAGAGGGGAAGCAGTACACATGTCACTGTTGCCTAATCATTTAAAAAAAATACAAAAGTTCAACAACACTTGAAACCATCTTTGACACCTTTGAGACTGGATATGGTTAAAATTTGAGTCTGACAATCTCATAAACATTTAAGTTCAGCGAAGGGACGTGAATAACATGTTTTCTTCAGAGTACGTGTGGCTTGTACGAGGAATTTAAAACGTCGTTTATTTAATGCAGTGCCAAAGGAATGTACGGAAATGGAAGAAAGAACCACTCTTTCTGCAATGAATGTGTTAATTTCACAATGTTCAACACAAGATACGCTGTATGTACACACCATACAAAGCAAAACTTCACAGTACTGCTTTGTGTAAAATATACTTTCTATGTCCGGGTCTTGTTCCATCTGAGTTGTTTAAGTGTTTTAAGAGTGACCAACAAGCACCATTTGCTGTAACCAGTCTGATCCAATGATGTCGATGATTTGAAATGCAATGAAAATCATTACACGGCGTCCAAAGTGCAACCATGTGATCCAACATAACCTACACTATTTATCATCAATCAGCCATGAGGATGTCTGACGCAGCACAGGTTGCCATAACACATCATCAAAATGGCACTCGTTCTGAGTACTCTCCATTCAATTATGAACTTGCTGTGCTGGGTCAATTGCTCTAAAGGGCTTTCTACTTGTAGTTTGCTTGTACTGCGATCCAGATTTAAAATGTGCAGTAGCCACGATGAATACCGTAATACATGCAGGAACGTTCTTTATGTGGATTTATAGAAATGGCTGCAAGACTGTTGTAAGTCCTCAACGCACACAGACCATTACAGGCTTTCTCTCTTTATGGTGCTTGTTAGTTACAGTAGTGCCATTAAATAAATGTTTCGGGTAATGAGAGGAGGAGGAGGAGGAGGTGGAAGAAGAGGGGGAGGGCAGGAGAGAGCAGTGTCACACTGATTTCCACACTGCACAGAGATAAATGCAATGACTAACTAGCTACTACATGAAAAAACTAATTTCTGCTGCCCCTGGCTTTGGGTAAAATGAACAGAATGTAGACTGTAACGTAAGAGATATATGAAATGTTAACATGTTGAAATGTACTGTGTAGTCTTAATACGAGATGACATCTTTAGCAGTACAAGGATACAGAATATTGCAACATACAGACTGTAACGACAGACAGGTTAGTTTAACTTCTATATCTATATGTAAACAATATTGCGTATTTCTCTTCTAAACAACCCGCCTCTCCTGAAGTTCTCTTAAACGTTGGCGATGTAGAGGCAGGAGAGTGATGGGGGTCCTTCCCAGAGTGGTAGAAACGAGGAGTATGTTGGTGCGGGTGCCAGGGCAGCAGGTTTGTGGGCAGGTAGCGTCGATGGTTGTCAATATTTCTACTCAAGTGACTGCAGCATGAGGAGCTGTTTGAGGACCTTGGTCTGACTGGTCTCCCTGATCTCTCCTGCCAGGAACATCTCATCCACCACTGTGTAGACCTTCAAACACAGACACAGACAGGGCATCAGAAGACAATGGTGAGACAGAAGGAACTGAGAGGATTGACCCTCTGAAACAAAATCACACCATTTATCAGAGTAACAAATTGTAAAAACAGAAAGAATCATCAGCTTTTCTATTATCAGATGATCCTTGAGTTACTCGTCTCTGACATGCTGTTCAGCCTCATTTTAAAAATTGCCAAAAGGATAACCTGTGTTCTAATCAGGTTATGTAAAAACTGAAAAAATCTGCAAAACAGAAAGAAATTCCGGGTTCTCAACTTTCTGACAGTTGTTGAACTACTTATCTGTGATGTGCCATTCTGCCATAAAAATGAACCAAACCTACGCTTAAAATTGTCACATATCATCAAATTTACTTTTTCTGTCTCATTTAAAAATTAGCTAAAAAATAAAACATTTGCTCTAATTAGGTTCTGTAAAAAAGAAAAAATTCTAAGTTCCACTGTGTAACCAGGAAGACATCAGCGACTCAGGTGTGACCAACAGCCACGTGACAAAAATTCAGGAACTTATTGGCTGAAGTGGGCTGAACTGCAGGCTGTGTGTATTCAGATGGGAGACAAGTATGGAACCTAAATGATTTTTTTTTTTTTCCAGTATTAGAAAAATCTATGGGCACTTAGAAAAATGTTGTGCATCTTGATTCTAGATTATCTTCATTTTTTGTAAAAATAAGTATTTAAAGAAATTCAACTCTCCTGTTAACTTTAACTATGATTTATAGCATTATAACTCTATCATACTACATGAAAGGCATTTTGGATTTCTCTCTACTTCAAGGCATAGTTGTGCTGTTTCCACAGAGGTGCAAGACTTTATATTGCTGTAAAATATGAGCCCACAGTGAGTAGAAATGTGAGGAAATTGCCCAGAAGCTGCGTGTGGTTCAGAAGGTTAAGGATATGTGGGACAAATACAGTGTACAAATACCAAAAGTCCTCCTCTAGCTTGTATTCAACATCCCTTAACTCCACCTTTGTGTCATCAAAATGTAAAAATAACCACTGGCTACTGACTAAAAGCATACATGAACTGACCTGACAAATATGACATCATAAATCAGTTTTTCCTTGTGACACACCTGGGGAAAGCAGGTGACTGAGCTTGTGAAATAGGTTGTCAATAGTTGGGTTCTCTTATTTGTCAGTTTCTGGTCATGAGCCGTCAAACATTCGTGGTGATTCATTAAAGTTACACATGTGGGCGGATGTTCAGACACCTTGGGTAATTAGCAAGAACGCCGGCAGGAGATGGGGGATGGGAATTAAACATGTTTGTTTCTTAGCATTTCTTTCTTTGAAAAATATAAATGCATCCCCCGCTAAAATGGTTTAGATGAATGTCACTGAATAACTGCTCTAGTTGCCAGTAGTATATCAGTTGCCATGGCACTGGACTGACAGAAACATTTTATTATCTGCCTTTTGTCCTCCTCTGTTCCTTCTGTCTGTTCAAGGTATTTAAGTAAGAACTTGAAAATATCAAAAATGAAGGGAAAAATAATCCTTACCTTGTAGAAGTTGAACACAAGGTCCAATTCACACACGTTGTGAAAATACTCATTCAGCACCTGAGACAGGAAGAGCAGAAAATTTGAACTTTTAATGCAATCAGATAGCAACCCGCAGATAATGAAATAACCTACTTTAGTAAGACAAAGATATAATTGTATATCTTAATGTGATGCATTAGTTCAGAGACAAAGTGACACTGTAGAAGCAGCAGAATCCACTTAACAACCATGTAATAAGATGATTTCTACTACAAGGACATCCATCAGTTTAAAATTAATGTGGTTCTGGTCTCCTCTCGTTTCCACCAGAGATTGTTTTAAGCACTGATACAGTGTCATTTACAACAGCACAATTAGTGACCCTTTGTTCAGAATTTGCTACGGTGAATGTTAAAACAAGCCCGTGAGCAAATCCTGCTGTGAGCCGATGTGCAGTTCAGCTTAGTTTATCCAACATAAGAATGGGTGCAGCGATTAAAAAAAAAAAAAACAATAATCTGATAAACATCCACTGTTTTTGTGGATGTGGCCCCATCAAATAACAAGCTGACAAGCTGCAATTCAAGACTGTGTATGTATGTGCGTTTAAGAAGTGCACTTAGATGCATTCCTTCATAGTCAAACATTATACAAATGACCTTCACTTCTGACCGCACTGGAGAAAATATGGTCTGTTTGTCTTAGCAAATAACAAACACTAGATTACATTCAAGCAACAAATTTCTGTTGGTATGATTAGATTCTAAAAAATAAATATGATTAGAGAGAGTAAACGCTGTTAAAAAAAAAAAAGTAATTAAATACACTACAAGATACAATTCAAGCTGATTTCTAAAGTCTTGCCATATTCACATGGCTTTTAATAAACTTATCTTGCTACGTTGGTTTAGTCTGTGATTAAACCAAATAATACAAAAAACAACTAATTACTTTTAAAAATGACATTGTAAATTTCTGGAATAACTCGACATTTATGTCTCCCTGTACTCGTGTAAACAGTGAACAAATCTGATGCAGCAAAGGACCCCAAAATCAAAACAGACTATTTCTGTTATGGATTTATGCTGTTTAGGAAGCTTTGCTACAGACACAACTGACAACAGATTGATATT